AAGGAAGGAAGGAAGGAAGGAAGGAAGGAAGGAAGGAAGGAAGGAAGGAAGGAAGGAAGGAGAAGAAATGTCTTACCTTTTAAAGAGCTTCATTACAAGGCTGAAGTTGAAGAGAGAGTAGAGCACGAGGAAAAAACTATTCCAGAGTCCAACCCACGCATAAAACGCTCGGAAGTCCAAGTTGTAGTCGGAACAGATTCCTTTGATCACTGGAAGCAAGAAAGCAAGAGAGCCAGTTTGATCGACCAATGAAAGTATTAAACTGGGAACTAGGAGACCGTGAGTTCTAGTCCGGCTTTAGCCATGAACCTTCCCTGAGTGGCTTTGGGCCAATCACCAGGAGATGGAGAAATTCTAGTTCCACCTTAAGCATGAAAAGCCAGCTGGACGATTTGGGGCCAATCCCCAGGAGATGGTGAGTTCTAGTTCCGACTTACACCTGAAAGCCGGCGGGGTGACTTTAGACCAATCACCAGGAAATGGATGAGTTCGAGTCCTGCCTTAGGCAGGAAAACTGGCTGGGTGACTTTGGGCCAATCACTAGGAGAAGGTGAGTTCTAGTCCTGCCTTAGGCATGAAAGCCGCCTCAGTGATTCCGGGTCAATCATCAGGATACGATGAGTTCGAGTCCTGCCTTAGGCATCAAAGCTATCTGGGTGGCTTTGGGCTAATGAATAGTAAATAAGCATATCAGCAGTTGGCTGATGGTAGACTTGAAAACGTAGGAACTTTTAAGAAAATATTGGGAGGCAACTGATGGCCACCCAGCGATGGGCCAGAGGTTTGAGCGTGGCCTTGCAACCATGCCAGGACTATGGGACTGGACCTTTAAGGAGACTAACTGGAGAGGCAACGAAATCGAATTATGCAAGATTCCTATTTTGCGTTTGCCAAAACTGCACTTAACAAGAAGCTTCTCAGTGTTGTAGCTGCAGACTCGGACAATGAGGAGGTTGGGGAGGAACCTGGGAGTCTGGGGAAGGCTCAGATGGATCTCTGCGTCGGACGCAGAGTTAGAGAGCCAGGCCCGTCCAACATTTCCCAGCCCCCAGAGAGGCAGCTGCCTTTGGAGGCTGAGATGAGGGAGGAGGAAGAGCAGCTGGGGCCTGATCCAGATGCGCCTAGGCGCAGAGCTGTTTGGAGAGGAGAACAACGTAGGACAAGGATTCGACTCGGGAAGCAAGGCACGCATAGACGCTGAATGGCCCCACCCTGGCTGGGGAATAAATAGAAGGAAAGGGGAGTTTTGGTCATAGGAGACAACAGTTCGTATTTCTGAAGATTTTTGCTCATTGTGTTTCATGCCACACAGACTGCTCGCCAAAACTTAATTTCCAGCTGGAACTGATAAAGTCTATTACTGTAGTTAACCCTTTGAAGGTCTCCTGCCTGGACATTTTGGTATGTGAATGCCCTTAATTCACATGAGATAAATAAAGAGGAGGTTTTTTTTCGTGACAAGGAGTCCGTTTCTTCTTTCTGCTAAGGCTGGGTCAGAACAGCTGGGAACTCTTCTCGCTTGAGCAGGGGGTTGGACTAGAAGACCTCCAGGCTCCCTCCCAACTCTCTTACACTGTGCCAATTTCCCACGTGTGCTTGCAGTAAGTCGGGGGGCATTCAAACGTCTGACTTTCCGCAATCTGAATCCGTCTCCCAGGTGAGGAAGGCGGGAATCTATTTGCAGCCAGTGTTTTTGCACCCAGATTGAAGGCGCGGAAAGGAAGGGGCCAGGTCTGAGCATGAAAGGAGTCTGAACATCAAACGGAGATGTTCATCAAAGGGGCGAGAAGTGTGGGGGGGGTACGAAAAATGTGCAGCGGGCAGCATTTTGAGAGCATCGGCGATGCTCAAAAGAACAATCGCTTGCAGAAGGACAGAAAATTGAAAAAGGCAGCATGATGAACTCACCATTGATATAAAGTGCCAGAGGCGCTGTGGTTAAAAGCACCACGAGGGGCTGGCCGGCGAAGAGCGCATAAAGCAGTCCGCCAATGCACTGGCCCACGATCGACTTTTGCACATCTGGAAATCAAAAGACAACATTCAGAGGGGGGGGGGAATTCAGTGATCGGCTGGAAACAACCTGCTTTTAAAACACAGCATCGTCAGACAGGAAAAACCAGGCCTATCTTCTTTTTTTTTAATATATATTTTTATTCTTTTTCTTTAAAAACAACAACAACGCATACAAAACGAAAGCAAGAAAAAAAAAAACAACTTTCCTCCATTTCATCAAGCATGTGGTTTGGTTACAAGTTTTTGTGCATCAATTCTTAATCTTAGGATTAATATAACTGGTTTTGCATTAAACATAACTGGATATTTCGCTGTCAATTCTTAAGATTAAGAATAACATCTCTGTTCTAATCTCCGCTTTTTCTCCTTGGAGATAGGTGGTATTATAATACTTTAAAGACTTATTGTTATTCGATAGATAATTATGAATTCAATAAGGATTGTTACAAATGAAAGAATATTAATGGTAATTTGAACACATAATGCTCAACGACAGCGAAATATTCAGTTATGTTTAATGCAAAACCAGTGATGTTATTCTTAAAACCAGGCCTATCTTTATCGCTAAAAAGCTACGCGCAGGAATCTTCCCAACTTTAGGTAGCCCTCAACTTACGGCGACAATTGACCCCAAAATTCCGTTTCTCAGCGAGACCGTCGTTAAGTGAGCTTTGCCCCATTCTGCGTCTTTTCTTGCCGTGGTCGTTAAGTGAATCGCGGCACTTGTTAAGTCAGCAACGGGGTTCTTAAGTGAATCTGGCTTCCCTATTGATTCTGCTTGTCAGGAAGGTTGCAAAACGGGATATCCCAGGATGCTACAACCGTCATAAGTACGAGTCGGTTACCAAGGGTCTGAATTTGCATCGTTTGACCATGGGGATGCTACAATGGTCGCAAGTGTGAAAAACGGTCCCTTTAATCGGTGCCAGCTATAATTCAAATGAGGCTCAGATCTGACTGCAATAGGGTATTGCCAAACAGTCCTCCTAATCAATGACTGGTTTTCTCTTGAAACTTGGCTCGAGACTCATGAATCAATTAGGGCATCTTTCGGAAACCTGACAGCAATGGTTGTAAGTTCGTATCTGGAATGGAGAGCAACTGTGCTGTGAGTCAAGGAATTCAAGGGGAGATGGACTTGGGTTGATTGTGGCTATGTAGGGATTCTAAGTTGCTCCCTCTTTTAAATCCGGCCGCAGCTTCTGCCAGTCCTTCTCCTCCTACAACAGGGGTGTCAAACTCGATTTCATTGAGGGCCGTGTCAGGGTTGTGTTTGAGCTTGGGGGGGCCAGCTCAACGTCACTTGTGTCGGGGGCGCTGGTGGAGGGCCGAACACTCTGCCAGCGAAAATGGGCTCCGTAGCTCCGTTTTCTGTTGCGACGGCCTCCTGCAACCGTCTGCCAGTGAAAACGGAGGGCCAAGGGCGTTTTCGTTGGCAGAGGCACTGCGGGCTGGTCCTTCGCTGTTTCCAGAGCGGGCCCTGTGGGCCACATCTAAGCACCCCGCGGGCCGGCTCCGGCCCTCAAGGCCTTGAGTTTGGCACACAAGCATCTCAGGAGGAATAATTTAGGAAGAATTCGCCAGTGGGTCCAACAAATATGGCCGAACAGTCAGGGTTCGAAGTAACATACCCAGAGCAAACGATTTCCTCAAAGAATAGTGAAAAGTGAAGTGGAAAGTTTGTCCCTTTCTCAAAACAATCAAGTCACATGGTCCAATCAGGATACAGTCCGGTTGCTAGGTGACTCCGCTCCCCTCCTTCCAAGCACCTGCAGGAATGTCCTTGGTTCCCACGAGAAAGTATTTTGCTTTGGCTACAACACCACAGATATATACTTATACCTGCTATTTTCTACATGTTTGCCAATTAAATGAATAAAAATTTTTAAAAAATCCCCAGGTAACCAAGGCAAGGCTGACTCACCTATGACGCCCTCGGTGTTTTCGTCGTTAAGGGAGCCGAAAGCGATGGTGGGCAGGAGGCAGGCGAAGTAGAGGAAGATCATGGTGGTGATGTATTTCCCGATGGCTTTGTTGTTGCCGATGATGCCTAAAACGAAGCCCAAAGAGGGGATTAAAAAGGGGGAGAATGCACCAAGTGTGGCCTAGAGGATTCTGGGAAATGTAGTCAACTAAGAATAGCGTACAGGCCGTTCCCTCTTGTTATTTCTTTTCCTCCCCCCCTCTTTCCTTCCTTCTCTTTATTCTTTCATCTTCCGTTTGCTTCTTTAGTTTCTCTTTTGTTCTTTTTCTCCTTCTCTCTTTAGCCTTCCTTCCCTCCCTCTCCCATCTGTGCATCCATCAATCTGCCCTCCTTTTCCTTTCTTCTTTCCTTCCCTCCCTCTTTATTTGTGCCTTCTTCTCCCTCCCTTCCCTCTTTTCTTCTTCCCTTTATTCTTTCTTCCTCTTACTTCCCCTTTCATTCTTTCTCCCCCTCCTGCCTTCCTTTTATTCTTCCTTCCCTTCCCTTCCTCTCCCTCTTCCATCTATGCATCCATCCATCCTCCCTCCTTTTCCTTCCTTCCATTATTTCTTCCTTCTTCTCCCTTCCCTTTCTTTTCCTTCCTCTTTCCTTCCTTCCTTCTCTTTATTCTTCCTTCCACTTGCTTCCTTAGTTCCCCTTTTGTTTTTCCTCCTTCCCTCCTTCCTTCCCTCCTTCCCTTTCCATCTTCCATCTATCCATCCATCCTCCCTCCTTACTCTTTCTTTTTCTTCCTCCCTCCCTCCCTTTTCTCTCTATACTCCTTCCTTCTTCTTCCTCCCTCCCGTCCTTCCTTTCTTTTCCTTCCTCTTTTCCACCCTTCCTTTTCTTTATTCTTCCTTCCTTCTTTTCCCTCCCTCCTGCCCTTCCTTTCTTTTCCTTCCTTCCTTCCTCCCTTCCTTTTCTCTCTATTCTCTTTCCTTCTTTCCTTCCTTCCTCTCCCTCTCTCCCCCTCTTCCTTTCTTTTCCTCCCTTCCTTCTTCCTTCCTTCTGCTTGCTTTCTAAGTTCCGCTTTTGTTTTTCCTCCCTCCCTCCTTTTTCCATCTGTTCATCCATCCTCCCTCCTTCCTCTTTCTTTTCCTTCAGAGGTGGTATTCAGCAGGTTCTGGCCAGTTCTGGAGAACCGGTAGTGGAAATTGTGAGTAGTTCAGAGAACCGGTAAATGCCACTTCTGGCTGGCCACGCCCCCATCTATTCTCTGCTTCCCGAGTCCCAGCTGATTGGGAGGGAATGGGGAATTTGCAATAACCTTCCCCTGCCAAGTCTGCCAAGCCACACCCACCAAGCCACGCCCACAGAACCAGTGGTAAAAATTTTTGAATCCCACCAGTTTTCCTTCCTCCCTCTTTTTCCTTCCTTCCTTCCTTCCTCCTTCCCTCCCTTTTTCCTTCCTCCCTCCCTCCCTTTTTCCTTCCTTCCTCCCTCTTTTTCCTTCCTTCCTTCATTTTTCCTCACTCCCTCCCTTTTTCCTTCCTTCCTTCCTCCTACTTTTTCCTTTCTTTCCTCCCTGTTTCCTTCCTTCCTTTCTTTTTCCTTTCTTCTTTCCTTCCTCCCTTTTTCCTTCCTTCCTCCCTCTTTTTCCTTCCTTCCTTTTTCCTTCCTTCCTTCCTCCCTCTTTCCTTCCTTCCTTCCTTCCTCCTACTTTTTCCTTCCTTCTTTCCTCCCTCTCTGTTTCCTTTCTTCCTCCCTCTTTTTCCTTTCTCCTTTCCTTCCTTCCTTCCTCTTTTTCCTTCCTTCTTTCCTCCCTCCCTCCCTCCCATCCTTCCATCTGTTGTTGATTTAAAACCTTCATCGCCCCCCAACTATAGTGACTGATACTTAACCAGAGAGGTAAGATTGATCATCTCAAGGATCAGCGTGAAGCTGAAACAGGATTCTCTATTCTTGACTGTAATCCTTCCTCATCCAGAGCTTTTATAGCACTGCACACAATGGGACTTTTTTTTTTTTTAAAGAAACCAACTTAGATTTCATCTGAGCCTCCAAATAGCCCTGCAAGCTTTCTGATATACGCCTCACAGCCCCAGATGTCCTTATTATATTTCAAAACCCTGGGTCTTCCACATTCCTTCACGCTCCATTGTGACCAATGAAATTAAAAATGGGGCAATCTCTATACGAGGAAGTGGAGCTATTTTAAGTTGAAGCACACATATATTTTTTTTAATTAAAAAAAAAATACTCTTTCATTTCCTCTCATGTAACGCATCCCTAAGGACCATCCCTAAAAACAGGCAGTCCTCGACTTACTACCCCAATTGAGCCCAACATTTCCCTCGCTAAGCGGGTTAGCGGATGTTCAGCGAGTTCTGCCCCATTTTACGACTTTCCCTTAGCCACCGTCGAGTGAACCCCCGCAGCTGTCAAGTTAGGAAGACCATTGTTAAGTAAATCCGGCCTCCCTCCTCACTTT